CACCTAGCATGACAAGATTCATTCTGGCTTACAAATGATGAAGCAGAACATGTGAGAACCTAACAATAAATACTTAATGCGCTCTGCAACAAACATACCAGGATTGGGATTCCTCCAATTTTTATGAAGGATCCAGGAAAATGTGGTGAAGGGTTTATTGGTTTCAGTGCAAGGTGATTCCAAAAAGGTCCCCGGCATAGCCTTAGCCTGCCCAAATACCTGGGAAGTAGTGTCAGGATAAAAGGCAGTCACTTAAGCTTTGTTTTTACAGAAAAGTATAATCCCTAAATTAATATTCCCTTAATCCCTGACATGTAAATAGCTATGAAGGCAGAAATAAGGTAACAATTGTCCAATATGTATATCACCACACTGAAGGAAGACTCTCATATGGTATGCAAGGCCTGCATGAGGACAGATTGTGTTTCTAGTGAGAATTTTTTTAGCAAATGAGCAACTTGGCATGAAAGAAACGTGAACCTCATCAAATTTCTAAAAATATATTTAAGAAATTGGCCAGCTGCTGCATACCTGGGAAAATATCCCTACTGAAGGTATTGGATGAAAATGAGTCTTAATTGTTACATTTTAAGATTTATATAATCGCTTCTTGGCCTTTTGACTAAGATCAAGTGCAAGATTTATAAACCCATTTTCCTTATTTCTTCACAGTTTCATTACAAAAGTTCCCTGGCAATCTAAAATCCAAATTACATTTACTGCAACAAACATGTGCCACATTTTATTTTATATCTTACAGATCAAAAGAAATTTGTTAATTTTTCACTTATGCGAGAATATGATTCTATAAATACCTATACAAACACAAAATTAGATGAAAGAACTGACAAGTTGTGTTCATTTCTGTTTTCATCTTGTTATAGTTTATATCAAGGTCTCATGCTCGCAGAGGAGGGGCTTTGGGAAGATGGCTGGATTATGGGGGCGCTACAGCTGACTGACTGTTAGGAAGTGGAGCTTAGGCGGAAGAGTCGGGTCACTGGGTTCCTAACCCAGAAGGGCTTATTTTCCTCCTTGGCTCCCGTGTTCATGCTCTGCTTACTGGTTCCTGTGGAGTGAGCAGCTTTTCCTCTGCCATGTCCCTCGCCATGCCAGCCTGCCTGCCTCAGAACCAGCTGCAAATAGACTGAAACCTCTGCAAACTCTGAGACAAAATAAACCTTTCTCCCTCTAATTTCTGGGTATTGGGTATTGCATCTCAGTAATGAGAAAGTGATGATATGATGCCGGATTTTGGTGCCAGACAAGTGAGGCCTTTTGCTGTGATGCTACCTGACTATGCGGTTTAGAAGCCTTTGGAACTGGTTCCAGCGAGGAGTTCAGAACTGTTTGGAGATGCTGGTTAGAGAAGCAGGCCTAGAATGCTATAAGCCAAGCTTGATGGGAGATTCTGGTCAGAGCTCAGAAGACCAGAAAGCTGATTGAAAAAAAAAAAAAAAA